TGGTGGTGGTGGTGGTGGTGATGGTGGTGGTGATGATGATGGTGGTGATTGTGATGATGATGGTGGTGATGATGGTGATGACAATATTGTGATAATAATGGTAAATGATAGTGGAGATTGTGGTTATGGTAAATGGTGATAGTTGGTGGTGTTCTGTAGTTACCTTATTCTGAGAGTACAACTTTCTTCATTTATATTAGGTAACGTCCAGTTATATGTATTTGGAAATCCACCAACCCCATTTCCCAGATGATTATCACGTGACCAGTCAGTCTCGCGACATTCTGGAGGAGGAAGGTTATGTGAAGGTCTCAACACCCATTCACCACGCAGCTCAGTAGCATTTGAGAATGCTGATGGATAATGAATGTGCGAAAATGCCTAATTCAAGGAGAAATGAAATTTAACAGTGTCAGAGGATTTAGGTCAGGTGGAAGTATTATGAATTGGTTGTGGTCGGTGACAGTAATGATGGTGATGATAATTATAGCAATGGTAATGATGGTAGTGGTATGATGGTGGTGATGATGATGATGGTAGTGATGATGATGGTAGTGGTGAATGATGGTGGATGGTGATGATGGTGGTAGTGGTGATGATAACTATGGTGGCGTTGATAGTATGGGAAGGGTAAACCTCATCAAAATATTTAGACAAAAAATTTCACCTACCAAACAATCTGCTTCATTATTTGGAATTTTATATCGTCGATAATTTTTACTCCTCAAATATTCTTTTGGCAACACGCACTCATAACGTCCCTTCACATTTTCACTTTCTTCCTCGTAAAATGGACATCGGGTTGCATCATTTGTGAGAACTGCAATATCCTAAAACACCATGGTTTATATTTAAAGCTGGATAAAGAATATCATTTTCACAAATCCAAGGGTCCAGTGTACAATAAGATGCCATGCTTTGCATTCAAAACCACAACACGGCAGCTTAGGGAAAAAATGACGTACCTTCCATGGTGATGGATGCCAGTAAGGATAATAATCTCTTTCTTCAGGGCACTCGTAACCACGTCTGGTTCCAGCAGGATTTTGTCGTGTGGCTTGCGCTGAATCCTTTTTCAAGTTCTTAAGGAATGCAATTGTAAGGTTGGTAAGTGTTTCATACTATGTGTGATGAAATTTGAATTATTAACTTGCAATAATATTTACCTGGTCGGCAGCGAATAATCCCTTATTTCTGTTTCGATATTTGCATTCTTGGTAATAATCATAATCCTCATGCATGCCAAATCTGAAATGAAATTTTGGATGAATAAATTATCACCATTAATTTTCAAAGTAAAAATAAATACATTCATACAAACACCATCATGTGACTTACGTTTTGTCCGTATTGCAGTTGTAGTTTTTACATTGCACTCGATTATCAGGTATTGTCCTACAAAAACTCAGCATGTTAGTGACCACTAAAATTTTGTAACCACATACAGTGGCACATATACATCATGGTGAATAACACTTACTGTGTTGTAGTACCATCTCGTACTAAATCTCCACACATATATTGCAGAATTATCTCGCAGTGAGTGTTCTGGTCGCCGCAGGAATGTTGGTTTGTCCTGACAAAAATTTATGAAAGAATGTATTAGGTAATATTAGAATATAATATTAAGTAATATTATAAATCATTGTTAGAATTTGACACTTGTATTAACCTGATGAAACTCATCAAATATATTGAAATTAATTATACTAAGGTCCATTAGTCATTTAGATCTGAGATTGACAAAATTAATGTTTTACCATTCAACTGACAGCATAGATTCCTGATAATAATATAGACTTCCAACATTATATCCACCTCGATTATTGTTTTGCGAATCGAACAACCTAAAATGTAGCAAATTTAGAGAGAAATATAGCACATTTAAGAAATTAGAATAAATTTTGCAACATGCAATTTGGTACGTTTAAAAATAACACATCAAAACAATTGTTTAAAATTGCGATAAATTCTCCCTTATTTTTCATAAAAAATGCTCTTATTTTGCACAAACACAGTATGTAATATATAGTTTTGATATATTTTTAAAAATCCGTGAAAAATCAATCGTAAAACTGGTTAAAAAATTGCGACAGTGTCAGAATTAATAAATAATTATTTTGCATTATTTAATACACTTAGTTACCTATTTGCGTTATTTCTTTCCCTTTTCGCTTCGTCCAATCTATTATTTGAACCCCTTAAAAAAACAAATATCGAAGTTTTTGAAAGACTTAAAATATAACAGGTAATATCATAATATTAGGAAGTATGAAATTGACAAAGACACCGTTTGACTGCGAAGTTTAAATTTGACATATTTCAAGTAGCGACATAATTGAAACTCACCTTGGGTTATGCAAGTACATGTCAGCTTGAACTGTTGCTAGAAGCAGAAATATTCTAGCAAACTTTGCCATTGTGTTGCCAGTGGCCGTGTTACCTTTCTTTGCGCTCTGGCAGATAAATTTGCGGATTATACGTACGAAATTTTGCGCAATATATAAACCGAATCTTATGACATTACCACATTATGATATTTACGGAAGTGCTGCCCGTTTCCGCCTAATAACTGCCCTTATATGGAAATGAAAACTCCTACGAAACTTGGGGGCGTTGAGTGTGTAAGGGCATGACCAACCTCGTCCCCGGCGCGTGAAGGTGGGGCATGACCACCTTTGCACCTGCCAGGGTGGTGGTAGTGGGGCAGGGGGTAATGACTATGGTAGGTTATGGTAAAAAATCGTGGTGGGAACTTTGAAAATTGCTTGAGATGTATTACAGTAAATGAGCTTGTTTGAGATTAATATGTGGGAAACATAGTTTAGGTCAGTTTAGTATTCTCAATGTTAAACTTCAATGTTTGTCTAGAACATTTGAGGGTTTCAATTATCTCAGTCCATTAATTTACATGATTATACCTGCAAGTGTTAACCCTTGGATGCCAACGACGGTATAATCGCAGTCAAATTTTAACCGTGTTTACATGAAGTATGGGGCAAAATGCTGACGTAACATGACAAGCGAATTTTCAAAAAGAAAATACATTTTTACAGTAGATATTTTTATTTCAATTCGTACTAAAATCTGAGCGTATTTTGTGGATTAAACTATCGGGAGACTGTATAATACAAGATGGATGAGAAAGTGGGCGAGAATGAATTGCTTGAGAGAGTTTTTATGCGTCTTGGAAGCGCTTCTACAGACGAGCAACTTGAAGAATTCACAAAGAAATTTTTGACCCCAGTTTTATTGAAGCTTGCTAGTCCAAGCGAAGATGTAAGGAAGAAAGTTCTAGAGCTTCTTGCTCAAATAAATCGTCTTTTAAAGAACCGTGAATGCGTGCAGCTCCCTGTGGATGGCTTGTTTTTGCAGTATCAAGACCCACAATGCACTGAGTTTGTGAGGAATTTCACTATTCTCTATCTTAAAATGGGCTTCACACGATTCAATCCTGCTAAACAGGTAGAGCATCTGCCTCAGTTATTTTCCAGCATGGCCGGGAGACCACAACCACAGCAGATGTGTTTGCTACAGCTCGCCATTCCAGTATTTACCTTGTTTTCTAAAGACGACACGTCTGCGATGAAGGGTTTGCATACAGTTATAAGCAAGGATAAAACTATCTTAGATTTATTTTTGGGCTTTATCCTTGATGTCCTAATTCTACCGTACGGTGCTGTGACCAATAACAAGTCAGATCCGCAAAAGTCGGTTGTACCACCTGGGTTAAGCTGTGCTGCGCTTCAGCAAGTCCTGTCGTCAGGCATTACCGTTGATAACCTTGAGGGGATTAAACTTGGAATACTCAAGTTTCTTTCTGCAGATTTGTTTGATACAACCACAGTCCAAGTCCATCTTGTTGTTGCCACAAGCGACAGTCATCACACCATCACAGATTATGCTGGTCATCAGCTGAAAAGAATCACTGAAGCATCAGATTGGGAACATGTCAACGTTATGAGTAAATTAATGGCCATTTTCCTTGGAAGTATTAACTTACCTGGGAAACCAGCAACCCCACCGGATGAGTGTCGTACCGCAGCCAGCATGCCGCTACAGTTAAAGATTTTCCCCTTCCTGTTGAAGTCACGCAAGAGCACCAATATCTTCCCTGCATGTTTACAAATTGTGTTTCAAGTCGACCGAGATGAAGGGCGGAATCAAGCGAAGCGGAAACTAAAGAAGTTCAGAATACAGTTCATTCATCATTTATGTGAATTTAGCTCGGATAAAGTTATCAGTATTATTTCACCTATCTTGCTCTCCACCCTTCTCGAGATTATAGCCGATGATAACAAATCTGATTTAGAACGGATAACTTTTCTAGCAATTGGAAAGATTGCCAAAAGATCACCAACACTGTTTCATAAAGATACGACAGTAATACAAAGCCTTTTTCAAGCCATACACGGTAAGGACCCCGACACAGGACTAGACATTTTGCAAGCATTAAGCATGATTGCAAATGCTTGTAAGGCAGCAACATCGCCGACACTTGCTATGATCGAAGCGTTGGTGTTACACAATGTCAGTCAGGAAAATCCACAGTGCCGACTTGCAGCTCTTCAGATTACAAACATTCTTTTCCCTACAAACCATGTCAAGTCCCGTTATGCATGTCTACTAGCATCTGCTGATATGAGAAACGATATCAAGGAGGAAGCAAACCGAGGATTACTTGTTTGCCAGCATGAGGAAACTGACAGCAACGACAGTCCCAATTTCCCAGATTTTTGTGAGATGGTTAACTTCATTCACCAAACACTTCATGATGGGAATGGCTATAAACAAAGCTACGTAACAGTTGCTGGAACTTTGCTGTTTCCACCAGCCATACTCATTAACATGTTGCAATATCTTCATCGCTGTCTGAGTTCCAGCTCCGGTGTAACCCAGGAAGATGCTGACAACGACCAATCCCTGATACCAATTTCAAAATATGTGCAAAAGATATTAAACGATCAACGCACTGTTGTGTACCAATATCTTTCATTTATCCAAGAAGCTCTGAAGCCTGCTGGTAGTTATGAGTTACACTCGGTAGCACTTGTTAACCTTCTTGAAATGCTAGCTTCAGCAACCAATCGGCTTGCACCAGAGTTGAATCAAGATGGGTTGTCGTGGATTAGGAGCTTCATTTGGTCATCTCACAATGTCATTCGGAACACGTCTGCCCAAATATTTGCAATCCTGATTTGTCAATCTGGAAAGGACATGGTCCTACAAGAGCTAACCAGCTTGCTCACAACTGTTAATGATCCATCTGAAGCAGTTCAAAATGGGACAATCATTTGTATTGGTCATTTAATTGGTCAGTATCTCAGCCAGCAGAATGTGGACACTTCTCAACAAATGGAGGTGGAAGATTTAGATGATTCAGAAACATTTGAGCCTAAAATTGAGAAAGCAATTTCCGAAACATTCCTGGCTATCATCCGTTTTCTAGCTAGCCAATCCAGTTTATTAGTTCATACAGCTTGCGATGCCATTGGTGAAGTTTGTAAACAAAGTAGCATGCCTTTACCTGATGGTGTTGTATCCCCAAATGATGGTAACAATGATGAAAAGGCTTTACCTGCTGACAAGATCCTCTCCAAGGCTGATATTATACAGCAGTTGGCTTATATAATGAATAACTCGAAAGAACAAAAACTTTGCGAGAAAGCCGCACTTGTCCTGGGAATGACCTGTGTTGGAGAACAGCAGTTTCCCCACATCAAGGAAGCTATTGCAATTCTCTTTGATGCTTCCAAGAAGCGTGATATAGACTTCCAATTTACGGTTGGTGAAGCTTTATCATGTGCTGGTGCTGGCAAATTGTCCACTGCTTCGCGAAGTAAGTGGGTTGTAGGTGATAGTTTGGTCAATGAAATTCCAGAAACCAAGGAGATGATGCGTTGGATGCTGGAGAAGATTGTCCGAGAGTACATCACCAGTGATGTAGCCCATGTCCGGAAAGCTGCTTGTATTTGGTTGCTGGTGTTGTTGAAGCACTCGAGTAAACACAGTGCTGTGCAAGAAATGATGGCTGAAATCCAACAAGCATTCTCTGCCATGCTGTCCGAGAGTGACGAGATTGTACAGGAAGTCTCCTCGAAGGGACTAAGTTTAATCTACGAGTTTGGATCAGAAGAGTTCCGGAAGGACATTGTTGCATCGTTAGTAGACACAATGCTTTCTGGCAAGAAGAAAGTTCAAAATGTCACTGGTGATACAAAGCTGTTTGATAAAGCAATGCCACTTGGAGATGCTGGTCAACTTTCAACCTACAAAGAACTGTGTTCCTTAGCCAATGATATGAACCAACCTGAGCTTGTGTATAGATTCCTACATCTCGCGAATCACAATGCCCTGTGGAATTCAAAGAAAGGTGCTGCTTTTGGATTTGCATCAATTGCCTCTCAAGCCAGGAAAGAATTGGAGCCACATTTGAAAACCTTGGTACCAAAGTTATACAGGTATCTTGCTCATTTTAAATTCTGTGTAAGATTTCCATTCCCAAACATCTAATTGTTTTGTTTTGCGGAAAACATCATGTTTATTGACCTGCCAAATGAGTAAACTCGGTGTTTTCCCAGACCAAAACAAATATATTTGCTATAGCGTTACAGTAGACTGTGTGAATCATGAACAGGAAGATTTAGATTCAGAATAGTGACACCAAAACGAGTGCAAAAAAGCTGTGCAACAGTAAATTACAGTATATACAAACACACAGACCACATATATATTATTTTCTAATATTTTATTTCTAGGTATCAGTTTGACCCAAACAGCAAAGTTCGTGAAGCAATGTTGAGTATCTGGCATGCAATAGTGAAAGACCAACATAAAGTTGTCGATCAGTACAGTCAAGAGATTCTGTCAGAATTACTGGCCAACCTTCACAACACTGTCTGGCGTGTCCGGCAATCTTGTTGTGTTGCTGTCGGTAACTTCCTCAATGGTCGTTCACTGGACAGTATCCTTGAATACCTTCCTCAGCTGTGGACCATGTGCCTCAGGGATATGGACGATATCAAGGAAAGCGTTAGGAAGGCAGCTGAAGTTGCATGCAAGACACTACAGTCTGTCTCCATTCGCGGGTGTGATGCCAATCAAGGAAAAGTTGGCCAAGAAGCAGTCCGTGTCCTCTTGCCAGTGTTACTTGAGCAAGGCCTTGCAAGTCGAGTTGATGATATTCGCAAGCTTGTCTTGCACACCATTGTCAAGATCAGTAAGAATGCTGGAAGCCTTCTGAAACCTCACGTCCCAATTCTAGTTGTAACTCTCCTAGAATCCCTGAGCGGTTTAGAGCCACAACAATTGAACTACCTCAGTTTTCAGCTCCAGAAAGATCCCAACATGCAAGAAAAACTTGAAGATGCAAGAATATCGTTTTCGAAATCTTCCCCGATGATGGAGACTGTATCATTGTGTGTTCAACACGTGGATAAAACCGTACTTGAGGAGCTTGTCCCTCGTCTTGCAGAACTGTTGCGTAGTGGTCTTGGTTTGGGCACTAAAGCAGGCTGTGCAGGTTTTGTTGTATCTCTCGTACAGCAGTGTGGTCAAGATTTACAACCGTATGCTGGGAAACTACTAAGTGCCTTGTTGTCGGGACTGACGGACAGAAGTAAAGCAGTTTGCAAGAGATATGCCGAAGCTATTGGTTCTTTGGTGAGAGTTGCGAAAGACAGTAGCGTTTCGAAGCTGTTTGCCAAAATGAAATCGTGGTATTTTGAAAAAGAAAATGAATCTCTGCAGATTGCATGTGGTTTGGTTTGTAAAGAAATTGCAAGATCATCGCCAGATGTCATGGCGCATCATGCAACGTCTATCCTACCTGTCGCTTTCGTTGCAATGCATCGTAAGGATAAGCAAACTGGGATCAAGTCGCCATGGACTGATATCTGGTCTGAAAACACTCCTGTTTCCACGAGAGGGATTCAGTTGTACCTTGAAGAGATTGTATCGATTTCGTCCATGCTGCTTTCGGGACAGTCTTGGGAACGTAAAGTCGAAGCTGCTGATAGTATTCAGACTGTGGTTACCACACTGCATAAAGGTCTGCCGAAGAAACACTTGGATAGCATAGTCGCCGCTCTTCTGTCAAGTTTATCAGGCCGAACCTGGGATGGCAAGGAAAGCATAGACTCGTGCATCGCGACCGTGTTTGTGAAATGTCATGCCGTTATGGAGGATGGTACCAACAAAGAAATAGCCCTGGCTGTTTTAAAAGAGTGTCGGAAACAAAAGCCAGCCTACAAAGCCAACGCCATCAAATGCCTTGGTCAAATACTGGGAGAGAAGAAGGTGATTGCTTTTAGAGAAGTCTACGATATTCTTAAGCCAATCGTTAACCCAGAAAAGAAGATGCCGGTTGATGGCGAGCCGTCGGAGGAAGAAGAGCAAACACCTGATGCTAACCTTCTCATCAATGCGTTTGAATGTATTGGATCTGCTTGGCCGTTGGAGAGAGAGCAGCAACTAGAGCAGAGGGAAGAAATGCTGAATGTCCTCACTTCATGTCTTAAAAGTCACCCGTGGAAGATCCAGCTTGCTATTTTGGAATCTCTCAATCGCTACATCGGGAAAGTAACAGTCGATGAAGATCCAGAATTTCTTGGTAAAATTGTTACATCCGTACTAACGGAACTATTCCTGTGTCTTGGGAATGTCAAATATGCTGCAATTCGTCTGAATAGTTTAGAAGTGGGGAAAAGTTTGTTGTCTCTTGTAGAGACAAGCAAGTTGGAACTGAGTGTTGAACACAAGGACTTGCTGCGGGAGTTGTACCGAATTCTTGCGATTCTGAGAAACGATAGAAATGAGAATGTCAAGAGTAAATCAATTGAACTTGACGTGTTCCTCAAGAAGCTTATGTGAGATACATTTGAGATACGTAATGAAGGAGCATGATATAAGGTTGAGTGTTTATTCTCGACAGTCTGAGAATGTAAGCATTAAGCTCATGGTTCTGATATTTTAGGAAAAAGTAGAGAAGATCCTATGAACTCTCTGATATTAAAAGGACCTTCTTTTGAAACGTCAGATTCTTCCACTGATATTTTTCAGGCTGATGAGAATTAACACGCAATTCTTTCATGTACACAAGAGAATGTTGTGTTAATACTGTTATCATGTGGAAAGGTGGTGCCATTAACCTGTACTAGCTGCAACACAGAGACATAGACACAATATTTTGCATGCACTATTTATATTAATAGAATATATTAATGCACAATTTATATTAATTTATATTATTTGAACAATTTGCATGCACTGTTTATATTAATTGAACTTTTTTTATTAATATTGACTTTTATTGATCATAATTAAGTTACCATTATTACAAATTCATGAAGAGTTAAATTGAAAGAATACACCCTTCAGAGAGTATGTCACTTTGGCTCTAGAGCCTCATTTTCGTGATCCAGATTTTTGGGTTTGACTAATATCACCTACACGAAAACAAGGCTCTATGGCCAAAGTGATGTAATTTCCTGGAAAGGTGCAATGTAGCCTATAGTGTCTTAGTTGATATTTCACCTGGATTTTGAGATGCCCCTAATTATTATTTAAATCGTAATGTATCGTCAGATCATGGCAAGGTCATGCCTCCATCAATAATGAATTCTTGCCCTGTGGTAAATGCAGATTCATCAGAGGCCAAATATACAGCTAACTTTGCGATCTCTTCTGGTTTGCCAAATCTCCCCATCTTTTGTTGCTTCAGAAAATTCTCCCTTGCTTCTTGTGGGTTTGGTGCTGCATCAAGCCTACCACAGAGTGATGGTGTCTCTATACGAGCTGGACATATGCAGTTACAACGAATACCCCTTGATACAAAGTCTGCTGCAATGGACTTGGTTAACCCACTGACGGCAGCCTTGGTTGCGGAGTATGCAAATCTGTTGACTACACCGAGAACATTGGATGCCACAGATCCCATATTGACTATCGACCCCGAGCCTTGCACTAGCATTTTTGGGATGAAATATTTGCATGTCCAAAACATGCTTTTGATGTTTACATTGAAACTCAAGTCCCAATCTTTTTCTTCACAATCCAGAACTGAACCATTGTGAACAATTCCTGGAAAGAAAGAAAACATGTGAGGCAAGGGTGCATGCTGATTACCCAGTACAAAAGAGGCGTGGTGTGGCACTTGATTCAGTACTCGGGGCACAAGATGGTGAAAACAAAGTGGGGGGGGGGTCCTCTGCCAATCATCTGATATGATTTCAGACAAATATTTTTTCAAAACAAACATACCTGCGCAGTTGAACAGAATATCAATCCTTACAAAATCGTCTGCTAGTCTCTCAATAGCGTCTTTATCTGTGACGTCCAATCTCCGAGTTTCTATCCCAGGAACTTCGTTCAGTTCTGATAATTTATCTTCGTTTATATCAGTGGCAATGACACGTGCGCCTTCCTTAGCAAATTCTATAGCAGTAGCACGTCCAATGCCTTGTGCAGCTGCAGTCAGGATCGCGATCTTGCCTGATAAACGACCTTTTGTTCTCACTTCTTTAGGGGCAAACGTCGCCATATTTGATTACGCAATTTACACTGCTAGGATTAAGATTAGAGATTAGGGTTAGCTAGGATTTATATAAGGATTAGTATTTGGATTAGGATTAGTACTTCCACCTCACGATATTTAAATTTCTACACGAAAAAATAAAATTCGAAAAAATAAAATTGCCTTCACCGGAACAAAGTACCTGAAATTTCCCCGGGCGGAGAAAAATTACCTACGGACGTGGCGGCGCATTTTTCCGCGAATTCAAAATTCCAATATGGCCGGCGAAACTATAAATTCGAAAAGTTCAACTGTTTTGGAGACACTGAGAGAAGATAGTAAGTTTTTTGTATTGTTTTTTGTACAAACAGTTATTACGTACACTTTGTAAATTTTGTTTAAAAATATTGCAAATAACTAGAGCTACATTTAGAAGTATCCAGTTCCCTACGGAGCAGTCTGGAAAGTGAATTTTTGTTTGTCGGTCCGTAAATTCTGAAGCTTTAGTCTAGTGTATGCTAGCTCAGAAAGTTGCTCTAAACATGTGCACACCAACTGGGACGACACCAAACCCACCCTGACCCCCACACCCTTTCACCAGACCCACTATTCACAACCCCATCCTCTTCCCTCCACCCCACCTACTGTTTCCAAATCTTCACCATTCAAACCAACATAACTAACCCCACCCATGTTACACCATATCCCCATTCTACAGTCCCCACCAACATTCTACCCATCCTCGTCCATACCATCTTTATTACACCAACCAAAATATTCCTGGTAACTCCCCCCAACCTATCATTTTCACTCGCACTCTCTCATTACCAAACTCGCTATCCCCCCCCCCCTCTCGTCCTGCATAGTTTCAACGTCACCACTCTACTTCCTCAGTGCTCCCCCATTATTGCCTTTCAATCATCACCATGATTGTCCAAACCCACTCTCAACTACTCCCACCCCACCCAAACTACCCCCACTCTCAACTACCCCCACCCCACCCAGACTAATCCCAAACACCTAACATCACAACCCATTTTCATCCTTACGAGACTTTACTCAATATTTCAGCAACATTTGAAAAATTTCTTGAGAAAGATTTTGATGCCAAAGGTTATGCTAACAATGTGATTCAAAGTCGTGCAATTGGAGAATGTTTGGAAAAGTTGGCAGATGGCGTACGACTGTTGGATAAGGAATTACATTCTCAGGTAATTATCCTTGATTATCAATCAGCTCTAAACTTTCCTAGAGGTCCAGGAAGTCCTGGGAAAACCTGCAATGTTTGGTAGAGTAAACTGGAAGCACTCTACACATTAAAATATAAAACAACGGTAACTCCGAAAATAAACATTTTAATATTCTAGCTTTCGACTAAGATTCGGTCATCATCAGGAATGATGCTAAGTTACATTACATTGATATATAATAGGTAATGTAACCTAGCATCATTCCTGATGATGACTGAATCTTAGTCGAAAGCTAGAATATTATTATATTAAAATGTTTATTTTCGGAGTTACCGTTGTTTTATATTTTATTAAAATACTTAGTGGTTCCCGTAATTTTCTACACATTAATTATGGTTAATATATTAATACTTTGTGTTGTTGTTTAGGTTGTAACTAGGCATGAAGACCTTTTGCAACAAGCAACTGGAATTGAAACACTTGAAGGTATTATAATTTGACAGAATCTAGAGATCTTTCCTAATGTACCTTGTGAAAACAAGTCATTTGACTCATTTCCCTGTATTTTGCATACAGCTCATTATGACACCATGTTGAAACAACGCAGTAAAGAAACATTTTGCTGTTTTTTTATCATTCAATTGCTTTAGGTGTTTTACAAATGATGACATCAAGAATCACTTCACTACAATTATCAATTGAGAGGTTTGAAATTAAACCAAATTTCTTTGTCCAATTTTATTTTTCTTAACAAGTGTACTTTGCTAATTAATGTGGTTTCCATGGCAATTTTTAGGATCCATCAACAGATAAGTGACCCTTATGAAAAGATTAGAACGCGAACATCCCAACTTCGAAGACTACAGGTATTCATTCTTACACAGACACTATTGATTGATACACCCCTAGGGCGGATTTTCATATATTTTAAAGGAGGGGTGGGGAAATTTCTAGTGGGGTGCATGCGGCACCACGGAGTGAGCTTCGGCAGGGGGTAGGCGTTAGGGTTAAACACTTTCATATAAAATAGGAGGGGTGAAGCAAAATTTTGGTGGGGTTGAACACTTTATAAGAGGGGTTAGAGGGATTTTAGGGGGTATAACCCCTCTTAAACCCCCCTCCCCAGTAAATCCGCCCATGATACACCCAGGGCCGTCACTAGGGGGAGTTGGGGGTGTGACACCTCCCAAAGAAACATCTTGTCAGTAAAATGATCAGGATTATTATTTTACTCTGTCTAACACCAGATTATTTTACTCTGTCTAATGCCAGACAATTTCACATGTCAAGGGGAGAGTGCTTCCACTCATTGGGTTAGGGAAAACTTAACTTAGGGAAGTGACATGTTAATCCAATGAGTGGCAGCACTCTCCCCCTGACGAATAAAATTGTCTGGCGTTAGACAGAGTAAAATAACAAAGTAGGGCGCATCTGGGTGCATTGCCATTTAAAGGGTCAACAGGGAGTATGGGCAGATAGTCTGATTAACCCATTGAGTGGCAGCACTCTCCCCCTGACGAGTAAAATTGTCTGGCATTAGACAGAGTAAAATAACAAAATAGGCCACATCTGAGTGCATTTCCATGCACTAGCTTAAAGGTTAAACAACTGATTAGCAGGAACAGCAAAGTATGCTGCAAAGGCTGAACTTCACTCCTATATCCCACTCTACTTAATTAATAAAAATCACGTATCTCTGTTCAGACGACGTGCGACTTGCTAAGAAGAGTGATCAGAATAAGTTATCTTACAAAACGTCTGGAAAGTCAACTCAAAGGAGGGGTAAAAGAAACTACTAAAGCAGCCCAAAGTCTTAACGAATTAGGTATGGTGTGAATTGAACTGTGTTTTCTGTGAAATTTTATGTGTCATGCATGATCTTTTCATGCAATGAAAATTATCACTAACCAATCAGAGTTGATGAATTTATTTTTCTGTTACTTTTGTGCGAAAAAAAATTGCAAATTGGAAAGTGGGTTTTAATGTCTGTTGTCATGTGTTTTTCTTATAAAGGTTATTTAATGGAAGGTGTAGATTTAAGTGGAATTGAGGTATGTTACTTGTGTGAATTGACGGTAAAGTTAGTGGAGTTTTAGTGTAGTAGTTTACACATGCTATCTAGTTGCAAATTTTGTTGCACTTAACGTTTTCCTTGTGCTTATCTGCTGTAGGTTTTAGATAAAGATATTGATTGGATAAAAAATGCAAGGAAAGAAGTGACATCACAAGCTCAAAATATGTTAACACAAGGCATGGAAACACAGGTATTAAATGCCTTTGTGTATTTATTTCGTTAGTCGTGTCATTCCAACAAAACGTTAAACGTTACGCCCAAAATATATATACGCTCCTTCTTTATTCATGCATCCAGAACTTAGAACTCTTTACCAACTACACTAAGATCTCCTGACATTAATATTAGGCAATTCAAAACTGATTTACAAACTTACTACCTGACAGCCCTGAGAGAATGCTTCGACGAAGAAGATCCGAGGACATGGAAGACTATTTGTCTGAAGTGTAACACTAGTCGTTACTTACGTTCTGAACTAACTTATTGTTTTTAGTCTCCTGTCCATGTACTGTATGTTATATGTCTTGTACTGTATGTGTATTTTTGTATAGGGCCCACTGTAACAGGGTGCGATAATTCAATATTTTTGGCCGTACCTGACTGGTACTCCGACAACTTTTGCCGCGTACCTGATCTGGTACAAACTTAAGAGTCAAGACGTACAGTACCTAAGACTACTTCCGAGTCATGCGTTTTTATACCTACGTATAGTTTTATAGCAAAAAATGTATGGGCAATTTTGTACAAATGAATCTTTAATTATGGTATTTGTACAACATAATATAACAGTTCTCAAAGCGTCGACGTTGTGACTCGAATGCCATCGCTCATTTACAGTGGATTTACCGAGGGTGCTAACT